TTTTGTTTTCTTTTATATTTTATTATAGAAATTTTCAAATAAGTATAGAAGTAGAAATAATAGCTATTGAGCCACTGTTATACCCATGTACCCAGCCTCAACAATTAATATTACATGGCCAATCTTGATTTAAATATACTCCAACCTAATTATCTTTAGGCTCCTGATATCTGATTTAATTCTATTGTGATAAAAAAAATACTTGGCATAATTCTTGTCCTTTTAAATTTATTACTTGTTTTATGACTGAGAATGTAGTCTACCTTGGCAATTTTCCCTTGTGTGCTTAAAAAAGAATATCCTTGTGTTGCTGAGCTGATGTTCTATAAATGTCAATTAAGTCAACTTGGTTGATAGTGTTGCTCAAGCCTTTTACATGCTTACTGCTTTTCTGTCTACTGGTTCTACCAATTGTTGAGAGAGTGAGATTGAAATCTCTGAGTACACAGACACACACATGTCGGTTTCTTCTTTCAGTTCTGTAAGATTTTGCTTCCTGTATTGGGAAGCTCTTTATTGGGTGCATATACATTTAGGATTCTTAAATCTTCTTGATGAATTGGCCCTTTCATCATTCTGAAATGGCCCTCTTTATCCTCAGTAATGTTTGCTCCAAAATCTCTCTGGCTGTTGTAATACAACTTTCAGCTTTCTTTTGCTATTGTTAGCATGAAACATTTTTTCCATCCTCTTAGTTTTAACATATTTGTATGTTTATATTCAAAATAAACATATATTACATATAGTTGAGTCATGTTCTTTTATTCAGTCTAACACTCTGTGACTTTTAATTGGGGTGGTTAGGCCGTTGATAGTTGATGAGATTACGGATATGACTACGTCAACCATCTTGCTATTTTTTTCTGCCTGTCTCCTCTGTTTACTGTTTCTCTTTTCCTTGTTTTCTTCCTTATTTTGGATTATTTTTATGATGTCATTTTTTTTCTTTTGGGGTTTATACATCTTTGTACTATTTAGCAGTTGTTTTAGGGTTTAAACTATACATCTTGAACTTATCATAGTCTACTATCATAGTCTAGACCTGTTAATGTATATTATGTGAATCTTTAACAGTACACTTGCATTTTCTTTTTCTGGGCCTTGCACTGTTAAGTCATATATTTCACATCAATATGTAATAAGTCCCACAGTACATTGTCTTTGGCTTTACTTTACACAATCAAGTTATCTTTTAAGGAAATTTTTAAATAAGGAAAGAAATATTTTATGTTTATACACATACATAACATTTGCAGTGTTCTCCATTATGTTTTGTACGTCAAGATTTCTAGCAGACATAATTTTCTTCTGCCTGAAGCACTTCCTTGAACTTTTCCTGCACTAAGGATGAATTCTTTCAGTTGTTGTCTAAAAAGTCTTGCTTTCATCTTTGTTATTCAAAGATGTTTTTGAAGACTGGAGAATTCTATGTTGACAATGTTATTCTTTCCTGTCCTGACGATACATCACTTCACTATCATGTGGCTTGCTTTGTTTCCAACAAGAAATCTTTTTTCTGTCTTTTCTTTGTTCCTATGTCATAGTGTATAATTTTTTTCTCTAGCAGATTTTCTGTTCATCACTAGTTTTAAGTAATTTGATTACGATGGACTTAGTGTAGTTTTCTTCATATTCTTGAGCTTGGGGTTCACTGGGATACTTAGATCTCTGGGCTTACATTTTTATTAAATTTAAAAACTTTTCAGGCTATATTTCTTCAAAGATTTTTTTGTCACTTTTTTTCTTTTCTTTCTTTCTTCCCTTATTTTTTCTTTCTTTCTTTTTCTTTCCTTTCAGTCCCTGTGCCAGGAATTGAACCCAAGGCCTTTGAATGCTAAGCACACACTGCTACCATTGAACTATATCCCCAGCCCTTTTGTAAAAAAAAAAAATCTTTTTTCTGTTCCATTTTGGATAGTTTTATTACTATATCTTCAAGTTTATATGTAACATCTCATATGTTCTTGATCCCATCTAGTATATTTTTCTCAGAAATCAGTGTTTATCTCTATAACTTTGCTTGGGATCTGTTTTATATTTTCCATGCCTCTCCTTAACTTGCTAGTGCTCTGTCTTTCTGACCATATAAAATCAATGTACAATAGCTATTTCAATGTACTGGTCTACAAATTCTATCATCTATATCACTTCTGGATCTGTTCTGTTGATTGATTTTTATCCTCTATGATTATATCATTCCACTTCTTTTCATGACTCTTAATTTCTTATTGAATTTTGGATTGTTGTATGTAGGATTTTTATATGCCTTTAAATACTTTTGAGAATTGGTATGAAGTTAAATTTGGGAACTCTAGACTTACTTTTAAGCTTTGGGAGACCAAAGAAGCTTTTAGTATAGAGTTGAGTTGACACCATTACTAAGGCAGTACTTCTGAATAGTTAACTGGATGTTCCATGTATTATGAGGTTTCTTCAATTGATGCATCCCTGTGTGTGCTACATGAATTGTCCTGCTACTCTTTTGTGGTGGCTTCCAACACCTTGAGTGGTTTCCTCACATACATGCGCTAATCAGTACTCACTTGTAGGCTTGAGTAGATCTTTGCGTGTCTCTGGGTGCACTTCTCCTTCCCTGCTACTCTGCCTATGAATCTAGTCTCTGGCTTCCTCAAATATCCACCTGTGTCTTCTGTACTCAGGGAGATTGGCAGTCTGTGGTGGTGCTCCCCCAACCTGTGCTGCTCCCCCATCCTGTGCTGTAGCCTGGAACCCTCTCTAGGCACTAAGCCAGGATAATTGTAAGATTCACATGATTTATTTCCCATTCTTAAGGATCACTGTTCTATGCTGTCTGTTTTCCAGCATCTTACAATTATTTTTTCTCTGTGTTTTAGTTGTTTAAGATGAAAGGTTCAATTCAGTCTAGGTTACTCCATGGTTATCTAAAGCAGAAAAGTGACCTCTATATTGTTTTGTTTATTACTGGAGTACATCCTTCATGATTCACATAAAAATAAGGATGACACCTTTCTCCCAGAGACCAAATTAGATAATATACGTGAGAGCACTTTTACAGAGGCCTAAGTGCTGCAGAGGTGCTTATCATGGATTTTTCCAGGAGACACCCTGGTTGCCCCCAAAGTGAAAGTGGTACACACTTTGCTTCTGAGGTACAGTCAGTGTTTCATGTATGTCTATGTATCATAGCGTAGGGCATTCAACTGCCTTCACTCTTACATTCAGCAGGCCTTTACTGAACACCACATGCCAGGCACTGTTCTAGACACTGGAGAGCTTATATTTTGGTGGTATATTTTCTTCTCTTCGTGTCCCCAGTTGTCCACTTTTTTTCATCTCTGTCTGGATGCATGACTCCCTCTGTGTTTGGCCTTCTGTGTGTGTGCTCACTTTATTCTGCCTGCACCTCTTCTCTTTCCCTAGTTTATCTGAGCTTCCCATGGAAGCTTGTTCTTGTTTCATGCAGTCCAGTTTTCGCAATATCTCTCTTTCTTCTACTACTTTTTTTTTCCTAATAAAAGGAAAGTTCTTAGAAAAGCTTCTTAGGCTTTAGAAGATCTGGGCTTGTGCTTACCTCTGCAAACTCCAACCCCTTGCTCATTTCACTCCACCCTCATTGACTCTCTGCCACTGTTGTCTTTTAGAAATATCATTTTGGTCCTACCTCAGGGTCTTTGCAGATACTCTTCCTTCTGCTGTGATGCTGTTCCATATATCCATGTTTCCCCTCATTTCCTTCAGGCTTTGCTCAGTTGTCCTCTTTCTCTAAGGGCCTTCTTGTGCTCCCCCTATTTTAAAGTGTGATGCCTTTCCTATCATCTCTCCTGTTCCCCACGCTTCCCTTATTTTCTTTGATAACACTTATTACCTTCTAAATTATATTGTGTGGTTTGCTTCTTCCTTTGTGTCTCCTCTGTCATTGTGCTGACACAGGCATTCTGTGAAGGAAAACACTGTTCCACTGCTGACCAAAGCTCTTCAGACACTGCCCAGCACTAATGAGGACCTCCATAAATATTGAATGAATGAGTGTCTTTGCTGAAATGCTTTTTTGTTGTTGTTTGTTGTATTGCATTTATTGAATATACGTATTTGTTTCATGTACTTTACAAAATGAATAGATGTAGTATTTTATGTACTTTCTTAAAAATCACTGTGATGGCTTTAATTTCACTTATTAGCATACTTGGTTGTATAGATATATAGCCTTCATGTGATAAAAGGTTCTTCATCCTGATTATACTCAGGTCTGAGTCCATGTAGAATTAGATGACAGTTTGGGTAGTAATAAATAATTCCAACCTCATAGATAACCTGAGAATTTAAGATCCCATCCAGAAACCCAAGGATGATCCAAAAAAAAATTCCTCCAAATATAATATTCCTCCTATTAAAAAGTTTGTGTATGTTTGGGATCTATTTTTGTACAATCCCATAGAAAATACCCTAAGATGCATTCAGGTAAAACCTCCTTATTAAGATGGTTATACAAATATACCCCACTCCCTGAATCACAATTTGGAAGTCTAATAAACTTTGAAAACCAAAAGATTCTTCTAAGTTTACCACAAACTCATTTGGTAGCAAAATCTAACTTGACCTGGCATGCAGCTGTTAATAGTCATTGTTTTTCCATTTGGTGAGTCTACTTACAGGTTTCTCTGCAGAAATATTAGTACATTTGGACTAGAGGAATGGCTGTAGTGGTGGAGAGCCTGCCTGGCTAAGCATGAGGCTCTGAGTTCAAATCCCAGTACAACCAAAAAAAGAAATATTAGTATGTTTGATTACATTATGTGCTGAAGATCTGCCAAGAGTAATATGCAGTATATGCCATATATTGCCCTTTTACTATTGAAGAAAACTGAATTCTTAAATGTTCCAGTCCAGGAGATTTGGAAAAGACATTTGAAGGCCTTTGTATTTTTTTTTAAATTCACTTTCCTAATTGAAGCCAAACTCTCCAGTGACAAACTGCCTAACTTTTGGTTGTTACTAACGGCTGATACTTTTTCCTCCAGCTTTGCAAATTTGGGAATACTTCATGTGACGAAGAAAAAAGTCTTTGAAACACTGGAGGCACGAATGACGGATGCATGTGTAAGGGGCTATAATCCTGGACTGTTGGTGCACCCTGAACTTGGCTATCTGCAGGCAGAAGGTGGAGGGGACCGACAACTCACAGGTGAGCATCTCTCCCAGCCTGGCTCCTTTGAGAAACTCAGGTTTTTATTTTCCCATGTGTGGTCTATGCATTCACCTGTATGGCTAGGGTTTCTCCTCCAGTCTATCTCCCACACCACTCCTGTCTTTGCTTGCTCCATACCTTTAATGGCATCTGCTGCCTCTGTAATAAAATCAATACCTCTGTGGCCTGGTGTACAAAGCCCTCCCCATCTGACCTCAGCCACTTCCCCAGCCTCTTCTCCAGCCCCCCTGCAATCATCTTTCTCTGTCACTGCTCTCTGAACACCAGATACATATTCATGCCTTCATCTGTGTCTTCCTCGCCAAAAGCTCCTACCTTTCCCTTTTCAACCTGTTAAAACCAGTGCATAATATGTCCAAAGAAGATCTCCTCTGTTACAACTCCCCAACCAACTGTATGGTAAAGTTTTTCTTTCTTAGTGTTCTTCAGATACATATAAACTATTATTTTTAGCATTAAAATGCTATGGTTTTCTGTTATCTTGCTTTTACTCAATTTTTTTCTTTCAACTCCATCCCCTGTCCCACCACATCTGTCATTTCTGCTTTTACATTTTTTCCTTTAGTCTGGTCCTACAGTTATCATCTCATACTCAAACAACCCAAAACTGGTTATCATTTTCCACTAACCATGTTTCATCTTCTGACATCCAGACTCAAAGCCTACACATGGTCTTTTTTTTCATTTTCATTTTATTGTTGAATTAGTGTACGTTAATAATGAAGGGAATTTCATTGTGCTAATTCCATATTTGTGTACTTTGAACAAGCTCATCCCCTTCATTATATTTCCATTCTCCCCTCTCTTTGTCCACCTTTTTCAAGCAGTGTTTGGTGGGCTTCATTCTGCTGTCCTCATGTGTATATATGTAGTTTACTTCCGTCCTCTTCACTCCTCAGTGTCATTTCCTTTTCCCCCTCCCTCACATTGACTCCCCACACACATATTATTATTGTCTCTTATTATTGTCATCGTGTTAGATCTAGGTTCTACAGATGAGCAAGAGCATGCAGTAGTTGGCATTTTGAGCGTGGCTTATTTCACTCAGCATGATTATCTTCATTTCCATCCATTTTCCTACAAACAATATAATTTCATTTGTTTTTATGGCTGAGTAATATTCCATACTGTATGTATACCATATTTCTTTATCCATTCATCAGTTTGAGCACCTTGGCTGTTTTCACACTGTTTGGCTAGTATACATCGTCTTTGTCTCCTCCTTCCCAGCTGTGCTGTATCTCCAGTGTGTGGTCCAGCTGTTCTCTGCACTCCCTGGCATTCCACTCCTCACTCCATTCCATTGCTCCAGTTATAGTAGTCTTCTCTCTGGTCCCTACCCCTCCCCACTTCTTACCCAGTTTACACTTGATGGCTGAAAAGATCTTACTAAAGCTTACATCTCATGACTTCTTGGAACTTCCCATTGCCTATAAAGTTCAAATTCTGTACACTGGCATGTTTGACCTGCCAGGAACTGGCCATGGTCTGCATTTTCAACTGTTTCCCATTCTGTCTTTTCATGTTAAACTGCACTTCTCCAAAGGAGCAGTATGAAGAATTTTAGGAGAGAAAAAGTGGGTTTTTAACTTCATGTTCTTTATTTGGGCTTTATAAAAGCATGCCATGTTAAATGTTCACACTTTCCACTTCCTCTGGGAGTGACGTCTGTGCTGTGTGATCCTAGATCAAGAAAAGGAGCTTATCCGGCAAGCAGCGCTGCAGCAGACAAAGGAGATGGATCTCAGCGTGGTGCGCCTCATGTTCACGGCTTTTCTCCCTGACAGCACTGGGAGCTTCACAAGGCGTCTGGAACCCGTGGTATCAGACGCCATCTATGACAGCAGTAAGTACTTGACTCCTAAGGGGAGGCAGCTCCAGTCCTATCCTGCATTTACTAACCAGCTCTGAACTCTGCAGAAAGTAACTTAACCACTTTGAGCCTAGGGTTTATCATCTACAAAATGTGAATACTATGATCTAGCTTAGAAGGTTGATGTTTAAATATCTTAAGAAGAGTTTGATAAACGTAGTTCTCTTTTCTCAGATGCACATAGTCTGCATGCAATACCAAATGTCTTATTTATGAATATGTTACTGTAAGAGAGATCATTGGTGCTCTTAAAAGTATCTTGTTTTTTCCTTGGGGCCTCTGAAGATAAATTAATAAAAGACAACTATTATTCGTTTCCATCTTCATTCCTGTGTGACACTAGCTTTCTCAAGAAAGGATGTTCAATTTATTTGAATGCAGAATATATCAAAATTCTCTTTCAGTGTATAGTTCCTAGACCTTTTAAAGAGTTTGCAGTGGTCTTCAGCATTTAACATGCAACTCTCTTGCTCAGTTTGTATGGAAGTTATTAAACAGATATTTCTAGAAAGCCTGTGAGTACAATACTTAAACTCACTTAAATTTTATAGAATTTGGTGCAAGTAGAAAACTCCATGCTCCAAGCACAACAGTTAACTGATTTCTCTAATTTAAATAAGTTTTAAGGGAAGTGAAAAGTTTATAAAATGATACAGACTCATATACCACAGTTTACCTTAAAATGCAGCTGTGTTGGAGTAAAAAAAAAAAAAAGGAAGCTTTACACTATTACCACATGAAACTTTCCCCCTAACCACACAAAATCCTAATTTAGTTTGGGGAAAGGAAATACAACATCTCCATTTTTCTTTATAGAATAAAAAAACTAAGATGTAGCTTAAGAAAATAATATTTTTCTAAAGTTTTTAGGACTCTTGTAAATGGCATGACATTAGCATGGAAACAAGTTTGGGGTTAAAATCTTAACCTAATTGAAATTCCAGAAATCCACCAGTTCCTGGAACATCAGAAAAGCTCTATCTCTTTCTGTATCATTCTATCTTTCTGTGTTAGAGAGAGAAATAAATACCATCATGTATTCTACATCAACCATTCCTTTCTGCTTCATCTGTTTTGGTGATAATAAATGGTCTATGCCCAAGACATACTTGAGGATCTTGGAAGTCCTTCTTGTTTTATTTATGACTTTGTTCAAGTTAGGACTAAAAGCATCTATTTGAACTTTGTTTAGGTAATGTGTGGTAAGGGCAGGTGCCCTCATAAGGGATTGGCTGCTAAAGCTGAGGATAAACTAGGAATTTTATTGTTTTTCCCATTTGAACAGAAGCCCCCAATGCATCCAACTTGAAAATTGTAAGAATGGACAGGACAGCAGGATGTGTAACTGGAGGGGAAGAAATTTATCTTCTCTGTGACAAAGTTCAGAAGGGTGAGTGTACATTCTGATCTCAAGTAGTGAAATAGAAACCTCAGTGTCTGTGAGTCACTTTTCAGCAACAGACTAGAAATGTCCCCTTTTTCCATAGAACCCCTTAAAAACATTTACACATCCCACATTTTCCAAGTGTAAATTGTCTGTTATTTTTAAAACTCAACTATATAATTCATTTTAAAATTTTCCACAATAGTAAAGAGAAATAAGAAAACAGTGATGATTATAATCAGTGACTTTCAGCAATTTTATACTTCAATAGAGCTTTGTTATCTACACTCATTTAAACTAAAATAAATGAGTTGTCATTGTGCATGCTTAACATATGTACAAACTCACACAGAAAATCCGTTTTCCATACCATAAAATTATTGATTCAGTTTATTTTGTGGTGCTTTGTTGTAACAAATACTTCCACATTACTATGATGGTTGGTAGGAAAAGGAAAGAGAATAACGACTACAGGGAAGTTCTCAGAGCACATTTTTCTCACAATTTGTACTTTGAGAAAGAGTTCTTGGCTTATACTGTCATTAGATATATATTACAAGATTGATAAATTGCACAAATAGGAGGATCATGGTGCAGGCTGGCCTGAGCCTGAAGTGAGACCTAATCTGAAAAATAACCAACACTAAAAGGGCTGGAGGTGTGGTTCAAGTCGTGGAGCATCTGCCTAAACAAACACAAGGCCCTGAGTTCAACACCCAGGACCACCAAAAACATTTTAAAAAATTAAAAATTCTCATTTGAGGTTAAATGCCCTGGTACATAAAGTCAGAAAAAAATACGAACAGACTGTTAGATATAAATACATATATTCTTTATCCAGAAACTTTTCTTGTCTTACCCTGGTATTGGCCTCATCCAACCCCCTATATCTGTGTAATACTTATTTCCAAATTCCTGGGTATACATACCAGGAGTGTACATGCCAGGAGTAAACACAGTCTGAGTATCCCTGTTTGTTTATATAGTTTTTAGTCATTATCAATTGTATTGGAATGGCTTAGTAAGAATTCTTAAAATTGGTTTAAAGAGTCTAAATAACTAACTCCAGGGTCATCCTACAGGCAAAGGTGACAAGGAGATATTTTATCAAACCCTAATATTTCTAAAATGCTATTAAAATAGAAATATAAACTTAGTAGTATGGTCCTTCCTATGAAATGGGAAGTAAAGCCAAAGAGATGCCAATTTGAGTTATATTATCATATTTTTGCAGAAATAGAGTCTATGACAAGAGTGTGAAATTAGTCATTCTAATTTAACCATAAAGGACTGACCATCATATTTTGACTCTTACTCATTATGAACTAGTGAAGCATTATAGGGAGGCAGTGCTTAAGAGCATGAACTCCGAAACTGATGTCTATGTTCATAGCCTGTCTCCTCTGTTTAGTAGGTGTTCTTAAGAAACTGTCCAGATCCTAGGTTTTCTTCTATAAAATGAGGGTAATGATAATAATAGTACACCTACATCACGGGGTTGTTTGGAGGACTAAGCAAGTTAATATTTACACATAAAGCACTTAGAACATTTGTCATATAGTAAACCTTATATAGGTTAGTAATTATGTACATCTGTATATTAGCTTGAACCACTTTTGGGGATTGTGATATTCCTCCATCATCTGCCATGTTTCTCTGAAGTTAATTGGTTTAAGGATAAAGAAGTAAAAAGGCCAAAGTATTGACTAAGAGAAAGCTCTAATTAGTTAAAAGTAATATTCTGCCATTGTAAATGAAACTCAGGGCCCATTCCAATGGCAAATAATTTTAAAAGTCAGTTATTTGCAAAAATTTTAAAGGACTCAAAAATCTATTTATATTAATTATTGTCAAAAAAGTTTGAGAACATAGTAGGTAGAATCTTGAACAAGTCTTATTTCTCAGCATGTTTTTAGTCATTAATACATTGTGTACACTTACACACCTGATGTGACTATTTGTAGATGACATCCAGATTCGATTTTATGAAGAGGAGGAAAACGGTGGAGTTTGGGAGGGATTTGGAGATTTTTCTCCCACAGATGTCCATAGACAAGTAAGTGAATTATTATTGTATTAACATTTTATGTTTTCTGCCTTGTCGAAATTCAGAACTTAGTTTCCATATATGACAAAGGAAAAATCATAAGAATTTACTTCACATCCATAAAATAATACTATTTTTAAGACTTGCAGGTCATCAGAAAAGTTCCCTGCCATAGAATTATTGGCAAGGTTCTACTAGACCATTATCTTTGAGGCATTTCATTTAGTGTGTCTTCCTCTAGTCCTTAAGGCAGTGTCTCTTAGGTCCATCAGTGAAAATATCTTAGGTATTCTATGGAGCAGTTATGGTAAGACTTGAAAAAGTATTGTACCTTTGAAAGATATTGTACCTTTGTGTTGAAAGCAGGAGTCTTCTAGCAGAAGCTGATGTCATTCTGAAGACAAGATTTCCCAGTGTCAAATGATTACATGACCAGGAGATGAAAACTCTGATTACTTCCTTATGAGTGGTTAAGAAATACTATTTTTTTAAAAAATGGGACAATCCAAATGTTAGTTAGTAAATAAGTTAAATTTAATATTATGGTGTATCTATATGAGGCAATATCATGCAGTTACTGAAAAGAATAAAAGATACAATGCTAAATGTTTTAAAGATAAATATAGAACAAAGTATGTAAAATGATTCTGTGTATATACACACAGAGAAACTCTGGAAGGTGACATAAGTAACTAATAATAGGAGAGATGGTGGCCTCAAATGGTAGAGCACCTGCCTGGCAAGCACGAGGCCCTGAGTTCAATCCCCAGTACTGCCAAAAAGAAAAAATAATAATAGTATACTTCAGGGGTGCTGGCACACTCAGGAAATATATAGATGGTAGATAAGAATGGAAAAGAGAATTATTTGTTTGCCATTATGTACACCTTTTACATTTAAAAAATCTTGATCCCTGTAATATATTACATAGTTAATGAACCAAACTAAAAATGTTAAAATGCCTAACTATTGTGACCCTACCAGGAGTTGATATGTTAGGATGCCTCTCCAGCAGGTTTAGTTTCTGTTCCTTATTATTGGCTTGCTGATAAGTTTGTACCCCTTGCCTCATCTTTCTCCCACTATCCAGTTTTTCTGATGTGGCTATAAATGATCTTGAGAGCTTTTAAGGAAAATTCAGACAAGAAGAAAGAAGTATATGTACTGAATTTTATATGTGTGACATTTACAACTAGAAGACATTTGAAATATTATGAAATAATAGAGATTTGCAATCCATTGGCACATTGTTGTATTTCACTGACTTTGGAACTTTTCTCAGGGTGCTATGTTGTTTAGCACACTTGGTTTAAGAATTGGGTATAAATAAGACTATAAAGAATATATTTAATATGCTCCATTGCTACAAAATATGTAGTGTTACACCAACATTTGGGTCCTTGTACTCTGCAGTTTGCCATTGTCTTCAAAACTCCAAAGTATAAGGATGTCAACATTACGAAACCAGCTTCTGTGTTTGTCCAACTTCGGAGGAAATCTGATTTGGAAACTAGCGAACCAAAACCTTTTCTCTACTACCCGGAAATCAAAGGTAATTCAATTGTTTAGACTCTTGTGCTTGTTCTGAAAAGAGGACAGCTTATTAGGAAAGATCAGTTAGCCACCTCCTTTGCACATCTTCCCAGAAACAGGTCCCAGGACCCACATTACTAATTATTAGAAAAGAGGCAGGTAATATACTACTTTGAGGTCATGGAATTAATTTAGCCTGTAAAAGTAATGTTACCTCCACCAAACTCATGTGAAAAACTCAGACATTTAGGAACTTGAATTGGGAATCTAAATATTTGTTGAGTCACTCAGGGTTTAGGCAGTTGAGATGAAAAATAATGCTGATTGGAAGAATCAGCCACTTAGCAGGCAGCTAAGGAACTGAGTGGCAAACTCCACTGCCATGCATTACAACACCATAAAATGAATAAGGTGTTGTAGTCATTTTCCTCACAAAAGACACTTCAAGAAAGAGAGATTCTATTCTCCTTAAATAGTTATGGTGCAAATTATGATTTAAAAAAGTATCCAAAGTGAAGCATCCAAACATGCATATGAGAATATCGTGGTGACGACCTTGGATCACTTGGTTCTAAAGAAGCCTTCAAAAACAAGGCCTCTTCATGAAGGCGTTACTTGGATAGAGGTCAAGATAAACACGAGTTTCCTAAGCTTGGGACAGTTGAGGTGCTCAAGGACAGAGGTGTGATAGTTGGTGTTAGCTCAGGGAGAAGTGGTCCTTATGAGTGCTGAGGTGTACTAAGGAAGGTCAAGGCAGGTGAGAAAAGCCAGAGCAGGGCTGAGGAAGGCTGTAATTGGCAGCAGAGGGTCTTGCATTGATCCTGAAGAGGGTTGGCCAGATTTGCCTGTGTTTAGGTCAATGATCCTGACTTTTTTATGTTGACACTTAAGGTACTATCTGGGAGCAGACAGAATCAGAAGACTAATGCATGACTCCAAGGGAGCAATGGTGAGATGAGAAAAGGAGTCAGTGCTTAGAAGTATAAGGAGAAGTGGGCCCAAGAGACAAATGTGGTATCTGGTGAGGATCTGGATATTTGGTGAGGTGGGAAGTGGAGGAGAGATTCAGGAGTCATGGATGGTTCAAGGATTCCCAAACTGGGGAGCTTATGATATGGGTTGACTAGATAAAAAGAACACGGGAGGAAAAGTAGATTTGGGTGGAAAATGAGAAGCTCAGTTTAAAATACATTGCAGTTTAGTTTCCTGCAGGAAATTCGAGTGCAAATTCCTAGTAGGCTGATCAAAAAGCAGGACTGAAACTCTAGAGAAAGCAAAATGGGAAATTCAGCAAGGAGATGGCTCTTGGAATGGAATATAACAAGTATCAAACTGGATAATTATTCACAGATATTCAAGTCCACTAACCCCATGGAATCCAAGATAGTAATAAACTTTAATACAGTTAGCTTCTTTTGTACCCCTGTTTTGGGTGTTCCATATTGAAAACCATGATTCTAAGAAGAGATCCATAGAATTCACTAGACTGCACAAAGGGCTTGGGACCAACAAAACCAGAAACCCCTGGATTAGAGAGAAGTGGGACTCGAAAGCAAGGCCAGGCTGTGATTACAACAGGACACCCGGGACCTGGCTGAGGTTAGAAGCCACAACGGTGTGGCAGCACAGAGTGATACTGATATTGGGTCCTGTGATCACAAGTATGATGGTGGCCTCTGAAGAGGGTTTTCCTTTCCTAGAATTCATGCTTCTGTGGAGTATTTAGAAACTGCTTCTGCCGGTCCGTGTTTCTTTCTGAGATTGTGACCTCTCCATTGCTGGGTCAAATTTGCAGTGTATTCTTTGCAGCTAGATTGCAAACACTGTCAGCACAAGAGACATTTTTGCTTTTGCATGAGATTTCCTGGGAAACCCTGGAATAAAGCTAGGTGGGCACTGGTGAGAGGAGGCCACCACTTGGCCTTTCCCATGGGCACTATCACCTCTTTCCACTTTATTCGTGAGCTGCTTAACTGGATGCTATCATCTGCACAAGACAATGTGAAAATCACTACTTCAGTTGAAACACAGTTCTGAAAGTAGATACAGAACAGAAATATGGCTATTTCTTAGAACTTTCTGAGGAAAAAAATAGATTTCTTCTCCTGAAATATGTCTTCAAAAATAATGTCATTTTTATTTTGCCAACATGGAGAACCATGAAAAAAGAGAACTCAGGTTACCTACATATGTGTGAGCCTAAAAACATTGGCAGCTGAATTTGGTTTCTAGGTCACCTGTCTACCTTTCCCAGCAATAATTGTGCATCAGTGATGTACAATATAGCAAGGGTATGTTAGAGCACGTCATTCTACCCCCATTGTAGTGGTAGCTTTCTGATGCTGGTTGAGGTTCCTTGAAAGTTCAGAATTGTACCCATAAGCTTTAAGCACACATCTTCTAAGCTATCACTGATTAAAAGCCCTACTTAATGCAATAATATAAGAACCATCTGGAAAAAAAATAGAAGAAATAACTGTTGACTCCAAATGAAAGAATAGCCAACATGTATGTATTGTGTTTGAGTCATAATGATATTAGAACTGTCTTATTAAGGTAACAGATTACCTTACTTTATAAAAAAAAAGGATAATATACTGAAGGAGAAATCATCCTTCCAGGCTATGTGGCCAGAAGAGTAGCAGGCTTTAACATTAAAGGATATGGAAACGAATCCAAATTGTATAAGCCAGGTAATCATTGCATATATTTCTCAGAAGTTACTGAACACACTTTCAGCTACCCCCAGTCCCTGCAGTCACTCCCTATCTCATTGCCTAATTTTATGTTTTTCATTATTTTTAACACTATATAAATGTGTCCTATCTACTTATTTATGTGACTACTGTCTTCTCCCCAACCCCAGTATGAAAAACCTTCTTTAGTCAGGCAAAGACTTAATCTTCTGTGTTCCCTGGTATGCCTCCAACATCTAACACAAAATGTGTCACATAGTAGATGCTCATTAAATATCCGTAGACTGACTTATTGGTTGGCCAAGTTGTCATTTTAATCTAAAAGGCTAGTAATAAAGTTGGATGCCATCAAGTAAGACATTAGATATAGATATTAAATGTCCTTTTCTTATAGAGAAACATCCAGTCCTGAACTCTAGGTCCTCTGTAGTCACTGGCATTGCACATTGCAAAATCTTCATAGAAGGCTGGCAGATTAGCTCAAGTGGTAGAGCGCCTGCTTAGCAAGAATGATGCCCTGAGTACAAACCCCAATACTGCCCCTCCCACCCCCCCAAAAAAAACCAGAAAACAAAAAGCTTAATGGAGATGGTTGGGTCCAGGAGAGACAAATAAAATAATCAAGTAAGGAATGATTGGCAAGGGAAAAAGATAGTTGAGGAGCTGCTATATGAAGGCCAAGAAGGACCATGGGGACTTTTATAATTTTTTTTTCGCAGTAAGCTGGGGTTTGAACTCGAGACTTCATGCTTGCTAGGCAGGAGCTCTACCACTTGAGCCACTCTACTAGCCCTCATGGGGACGTTTTGATCTGAAAAGATGGTGATTAGGAAGAAATAGAATAATAGTCTTTAAGTTTTGAAAGGTATAGCCTGGATAAATGGTAAACCAGAATCCAGAAAAGTAAGAATAAAGTACTTTTAAGGAAATAGTGTTAGAGGCTAAGATTTTTGCTTCTATCTTTGAATTAAACTGTGATCTAAAATCATCAACTTTTATCTAAAATCATTGGGTATTAAAGTATTAGCTAGTATTACTGTACAAGCTATTTTGGAGTGTTTCACAAAGAGTAATAGTCTACATAAAGGCTTTGGATCTAACCTTCATTTGTCCTGACTGGAGAAAAGTCACTTAACACTCATAGCTCAGTTTCTTCTTCTGTGAAAGGAGAATTTATAGTGAGTGGCTACTTACATGTTTTCTAGAACAGGGTGATATTTCATAGTACATCCCAGGGTGCCTCTGTCAAAGGTTGAACAAGGATGAACAAACCAAGTGTAAAAATCTCAATGTTCAGTTCTATGGAGATTGGGAATTGAAGGTATTTTTATAAAGTTTATTTTGTGGAATTTTCAAATTAGCTTCATGTCATTAAGTTATACCGTTTATAGTACAGCTAATATTTTGAAAATAATCTCTTAAAATTCCCATTTCACAGTGAAATGTAAGCTGTGAACATCTGTATTTTTAAAAACAAAAAGACTACATGGAGAATATTAACTGATCTGTCTGCTAGAAACCATGTTAATCAGTAAGATTCCTCTCTAAAGATGAACAGATTGTCTGCTCCCCTCTTGTGTTCCACATTTCTATAATGAGCTAATATTCTATGCGAGATCAACAGTGTATAGGACGAGTTAAAAGTATGGCTCCACATGATAAAAGCGAGAGCACACAAGGGAGGGGTGAGGATAGGTAAGACACCTAAAAAACTAGCTAGCATTCGTTGCCCTTAATGCAGAGAAACTAAAGCAGATACCTTAAAGCAACTGAGGCCAATAGGAAAAGGGGACCAGGAACTAGAGAAAAGGTTAGATCAAAAAGAATTAACCAAGAAGGTAACACCCACGCACAGGAAATCAATGTGAGTCAATGCCCTGTATAGCTATCCTTATCTCAACCAGCAAAACCCCTTGTTCCTTCCTATTATTGCTTATACTCTCTCTACAACAAAATTAGAGATAAGGGCAAAATAGTTTCTGCTGGGTATTGAGGAGGGGAGCGGGAGGGGGTGGAGTGGGTGGTAAGGGAGGGGGTGGGGGCAGGGGGGAGAAATGAACCAAGCCTTGTATGCACATATGAATAATAAAAGAAAAATGAAAAAAAAAAAGGTATGGCTCCCTGTGCAACTATTATATACTAATAAAATCATAAATTAAAAGTGGTACTTCAAATTGATTCTGAGGAATCTGAGTTCGCCACACTCTTTTCTGGCAATAACTTTTTTTTATCAGATTAGCAGAAATAATGTGAAAATACCTGTCACAGTAATTTCAAATGTCTATCATCTATCAAATTATACACAAATGATTCATGGTTGCAAGGTGGTGCTTGAATGAAGGACTTTTTCAAGAAAGAAAAATAAATGCTATAGAAAATATAAATTGGTGAAGAATAAAAAATAAATTTTAAAAAAGTATAGCTCATAATTAGTTACTGTATAACTGATAGGGAAATTTTATAAATCTTTCAAAAAATTTTGGTAAGGATTTTTTAATGTTTCTTCACTTTGAGGACACTTCCCTTCTACTGGAGGCTCATTTTTCTCAGAGTTCGCCCAGCTTGGCCTTCGTAATAAGTCTGGGCATGCTCAATTTTTAAATGACTGTTGATGTGTACCTTGTTACCCTGCTTTCCCCTCATCCATCATCTGCAGTTAGATGATCATGAGATAATCAGTAAACAGCCTCTCTGTAGCTCTGAGATGACTGAAACAACCACAGAACTATAAATAAGTGAATATCTGTCTGAACATAAACAATGACAAAAACTGACATTGAAGAATCAGAAATAGGACAATTAAGTATTGGGCTGCTGACTGAAAAAAGAATACCATTTTGACTGTTTGTGTAATATAAACAAAAAAATCGCCTGCACTTCTTCAGCCCAAAAGAGAAAAGGGAGAAAAGCAAAACATATTGTAGGAAGAAATCACAGAGAAAGAAAGGAAAACAGAAAGAAGAAACAAGATCATGAGAGTAGATCACAGAAGCAGCAACAGAACTCAGAAGGGGCATTGAGTCTGGTGAGAAGTGTAGACAGTGAGAAGCAAAAGAAACAAAAGAGAATCACATGAAGGATGAGGAAGAAAATCTAATCACATCTAGACCTGAACAGTCAAGAATCTCAGAAGCTATCACTGTATTTTAAACAAATAGTGGTCTGAGATTTCTAAACCCCCATTTTATCAGTGGCTAGAACCTACTGATCTCTCTTTCATTGTGTTTCTGGGATCCACCCAACTTCTGTTGTTGTGATGGGCAGAAAGGAACATGTCTCTATCACCTTATGCCTATACTGTCTTTGTCTCTTTAGTGGGTCCTATGCACAAGTGACAGATAAGTCTCCTTGAAATGGAACCCTAGCCACATCTTTGAGACAGTCAGTGACTCTCCTGACTTTGGTTCATATTCCAGATGCTTCCCAGTGTGGGTAGTTCCAAATCAGCCCTACTTCTTAAGAATTCCTTATACTAACCTTTCACTTCATCCCAAATGGTCTACCATGTTCTCATGAGCACCTTAGGTACATCCTTCATTGCTTTGTAAAACACCTCCATATTCCCTCACCAAAACATCTTCCTTTCTTTTTCCTTATTTAAGTTGATATACCATGAATGTGCATCATGAACTTAACACATATACCATTATGGTGCTATCCCACTAACTCCCCAACTACTTTAAATGAAGTTTGAGGGTTGTTGGTAGCAAAGACATTATGTCATGCTTCTTTATCCCTAGCTCATTGTAGATGCATAGTCAATGCTAGCTGGTTGGTAATAGTTGTTTTGGGTGACCAAGGGAAAATGTCCAGGCATATTTTTTTATTCCCTTTCTTTGGGGCATCTAAATCTGATGCCCCAATCTGATCTTTCACCAAATTTATCAACCTTGGGGAATTAGAAAAATGTTGCAGAGTGGAATTGGGTGGGTACTACTCTGTGGTCTCTGAGGGTCAGTCTTAGTCTTTGTACACATTGGAATAAACATAATGCTTCTTGAAATATGGCATCTCTTCCTCCTTGAGTAATTTCTGTTTCCCTTTAAGATATTTAAAGATATCATGAGAATCAATAGTCTTTCTGTGGCTGGTAGTGGAACCCAATCAATCTTTTCTCCACTTGTTTCTCTTCCTGTAAATACAGATAAAGAGGAAGTGCAGAGGAAGCGGCAGAAGCTCATGCCCAACTTTTCGGATAGTTTCGGTGGTGGCAGTGGTGCGGGAGCTGGAGGCGGAGGCATGTTTGGTAGTGGCGGTGCAGGAGGGAGTACTGGAAATCCAGGTCCAGGTACAAGACAAGTCTGTTCTTTCTAAAGCCTTTTCATGTTAGAGATAATACAATTTTATTTCCCTAGCTTTTTAGGACTATCTGTGGGTTGAGTGACTGTGACATTATTAAGTATGTGATTTCAAATTCATTTAAATTCCCCTAAAAATCTATTTTTCAAAGAAACGCATGTCATTTTACAGTACAGTAACCCCCCACCCCTCACACACACCCTTATCCACAGTTTCACTTTTTACAGTTTCAGTTACCCTTGGTCAACTTTGGTCTAAAAATATTAATAGTTGTCTTGTTTCTTTTAAGCAAGAGACTGCATCGCATAAATTTTATTGTAGTATATTGTTATAACTGTTCTATGTTGATGTTAATTTCTTACTGTAACAAACTTACAAGTTGAATTTTATAATAGATATATATGGACAGGAAAAAATGTAGTGTATGTCCATGATTTCAGGCATCCAGTGGGGGTCTTGGAATCTTTTGTGGGTAATATGTGTGTAATCCCCAAAATTATGGGAAGATAAAAAGTCATTCAAGGCCAGTTATCCAAAAAATACCTCTCTAAATATTTTGGTGTTTTCCCTTTTTTTTTTTTTTGGAGGGACAGTTGTCTTGTTATTCTTAGGAAGCATTGAAAAAACATTTTATTATATATGCTACATGGTGGAGGTATATTATATACCTAAATACATTAATGTTAACATCTAATTACATTTTAGATTGTATAGTCTACATTTCAGAAAATTTGAAAACAGAAAATCCTGCCATTGAGGGTTAAATTAACCGTTTTTAATTTTTTCCATGCATACATTATAGTAAATATTTATGAATTTTCCCTACTACAACTATGATCATCGTGAATACTATTTTAACCCATTTATTTGCATTTGGTATTTATTATCATTGCACCATGATTGTGGATATTGAGTTACATGTATTACTTTTACCTAACATATTAGCATAAGCATTTCTTAATGGTAATATAGACTTAGCATAAGCATAATTTGGTAAGCATCATTTTTAACAATTTGATAGATTATCAACTGAACAAACAATAGTACAACTTATATCAATGTTATATCTATTTTCAACATAAAATACTGAACTGTACTCCCATTGGATACATGGCTTTTCTTTTATTCCAGATTAGTTTTAAATGAGATCCTTCGAAGTAAAGTTGCCATGTGAGAGTGTAGGGTATCTAATGGAAACTTTCCCCAGAGTTTTACCAGTTCATTCTTCCACCAAAAATGCATGAGAATGAGCAGTGGTGGCCATTTTTCTGTTGAGGCATCAGTGTGTTTTTCCATTTTGTTTGGTTGACTTTTTGCCTCCAGGGATTATTTTGATGTATTCTCTGTAGGCAGGTCTGGGTCTGAGTGTGACCACTCACTGTTAGCCTCTCCCTTTCATGTGGGAGTGGGAGACTTTGTCAACGTGAACTCCTCCGTGCTGTTAGTTGGTGGGCCATGTATGAAGCCAAAGTGGAATTAGACTATCCCATGGCCCACACTGTGTCTCAGTAATGCTCAGCAGAAGCGCCATTTGCAGACCAGCACTGCTCTCCCATTCCAAAGCCTATGGTCATTTGAAGACCAGCAGCACTAAGGTTTTCTGACTCTTTATTAGAATTCTTCCTAACGTTCTGTTTGTTTTACTTGCTGTTTCAGGGTATGGCTTTCCACACTATGGATTTCCTACATATGGTGGGATTACCTTCCATCCTGGAACCACTAAATCCAATGCTGGGATGAAGCATGGTAATACTTTAACATCAAAGAAGAAAAAAATGAATGCTAAAAAGGGTGGCTGTTAAGTCATAACATATCACAACAATAGAAAAAATTTAAAAGATACTTTTCCAAAAATTTATTTCCTATGGATAGTATAGACTCTATCCCTAACACTTGTTTATATATTTACTTTTTAAGTAGCATGAATGAGGGTAGAAAAGAGCATTACAAAAAGACATAGAGAGACTTGACTCTTCAAATATATAAAAAGCCATTTTTAGTGTTATAAGTTGTTCTTTTCCAATCAAATACATCCCTTAAAGTAGCAGTTCTTACACTGTGTTCATACTTTATATTAAAATACATTCCATTGTACCCACTGAAGAAGTAATTTTATAAAGTCTCCCCATTTATTTAATGTCTGTTTTTGTATCAGGTACCCTTATATGACTTAACTATATTCTTTTTTTAAATGACTTTATTTTTCATTCTAAAATGAGAACCTCCCCTTAACTGTAATCTTCATGACTGCTCTATAAGAAAAATATTAGTATCCCCATCTTACAGAGAAAAGGCAAGGTCCAAAAACATTTATTCACTCATTGAAGGTACATCACTGTTAGTTTCAGAATCAGAATTTGAACCCAGTCTGACCATGAACCTTCATAATACCTGTCAGATAACATAGTCGGACCAGAAAGATCAGTCAGAAATGGAACAGCACTTGAGAGCTCCCACACCAAAGATTGAAAATTGCCTTGTTAATTAGCATTAGGGAAAAAAAATAGCTGCTCTGCTTTCAGGAACATAATTTTTTTCCATTTCCCTTTAATATACAGCAGAACTTTATTTCATTTTCCCCCTTCACAAATAAACAAAAATAAGATCAAGTTTATAGAAATATAGTTTAAAATGTTTTTAGAAGTATTTAAAACAACTTCAAACATATTTATCTGTATTAATGAACATTTTAAAAAATTTTTTCAAATTATTATTTTTGTTTTACCTTTGCAGCAAACTTGCCTCCTACTTTATCTGGTCTACACTATAACAGTGAATTACAACTTAGTCAATAGATTTTACCAAGAAAAAGTTGATGTTTTTCCATTTGTTTTAGGAATCATAAACACTGAATGTGAAAATGACCCTGAAGGTTATGACAACAGTGATGACAGAGAGACTGTAAATCTCTCTGGGAAAGAAAGCAAACCCACAGAACAAGATAAGGAGTCGGGCAAGTCCAGCAGCAGGAATGAGGTTACTCTGACGTACAGGGTGGGAGTAAAGGAAGAGAATGCTTGTAGGTTTCAGGGTAAGTGAATACTGGCAAAGGCACCTTATGTTGGTTGGCTAGGGAGGATTCAGTTCTACAGATAGGAAGTTATTTCCAGATGACAGTTTTCTGTTAATCAAAAGATTATATAGTAACATCTAGTTCAATGTGCTCTTCAAAGCCTGTGCACCTTTTGGAAAGCATGTATCTGATCACTTTTGTTCATACAGGCATTTCCACTTTTTCAGTGTGATCATTGCATGTAAAATACAGAAGTTTGCATTCTCCAGTCATAACCATACAGTTTGGGAGTAGCATGGAGACAATCAACTTCTTTTCTGGCACAGATAATAGACAACAATTTCCACATCCTTCCTTCTTGCCCTTGCCTAGCATCTAACTAAACTGTCAGACTGAAGTGAAACATTGTCTGAAAGTGGAACTTTTCTTTTTATCCTGTCATCCTCTTGGAAGAAGTGGGATTGGAAGAGAATGCAGTGCTATTTCCTTTGAACAAAACTTGTTAGCATGTGTCATGATTCCAGGTCATCTAAAATGGTATTTGGAAGGCTTCTTCTGTAAAGGGAAGAAAGTAAATATTTATACTTGGCAGCCACATCAAGAAGCCACATCTTCTTCTTTTTTTCTTCTTTTTTTTAACACCCTTTAAAAATGTACAGACCATGCATAACCAGAGAGCCATATAAAAACAGGTTATATATGGCCTGCTTTTTGGCCTGAAGATCACAATTTGCTATACCTATACCTTAAGGGAGCAAACTTTACAAAAACACCAATGGCTCATTCAAAGTTATCTATCTATGTAAGAACTGTATAATTTTTGACACATTGACTAACCAGATAGTTGTTGAAGATTCCAATGAAGAATTATTTTGCCAAGATACTTGGTTATTTAAAACATGGCAAGCTGGGTACATTGGCACATACATGTAATCTCAGCTACTTGGGAGGCAAAGATAGGATCATGGTTCAAGGCCAGCCTGGGCAAAAATGTTAGCAAGACTCTATTTCAACGAATAAATGAAATCTGATAGCTCACATCTGTAATCCCAACTACATGGGAAGGATGGTGGTCTAGGACTAGCCTGGAAAAAAAAGCATGAGAAAAATAACTGAAAAATAAGTAAACTGGAAAGGGTTGGGTGTGTGGCTCGAGTGATACCAAGTGTGAACCCCTGAGTTCAAACCTCAGTACTGCTAAAAAAAAAAAAAAAGGCAAAATCCAGTCAGCATTATTTGAAGGTTGTTTAATTGTTCTTCTTAAAATTAGCAGCCATTTCTAAATTTTTTCAACAAGCCATGGGCACTTTTAGATCTAGCTCTGTATTTGTCAGCAAACCAGTGTTCAATCATGCTTTTTCTAATGAATGTAATCCAGAACCACCTAAAGGAGCATTTTCAACTAAGACAGTGTGTCTTTAGAGCAAGTGTAGGAAACTCAACAGTGATTACGATCATTGCCTTGCAGATAACCTCTTCCTAGAGAAGGCCATGCAGCTCGCCAAACGTCACGCCAATGCCCTTTTTGACTATGCAGTAACGGGAGATGTGAAGGTGCTGCTGGCTGTCCAGCGCCATCTCACTGCAGTGCAGGATGAGAATGGAGACAGGTAAGCCAGGGCTTTTGAATGCTAGGGTGGTTTTAGGATAGGGAAAAGGGAAAAGCATTATGTAGTGCGTATTGGCTAGGGAGAAAAGATCTTTCAAGTTTTGGGATCCTGTAATAAAGCATACTTGGCCTCTCCTGTCCTGCTGCAATCACCTGTCAGACTTCAGAGTAGCTTAAGTGTTCATCAAAGAGGATGTCTCTCTAAGCAAGGAGACCAAGATGTGTGAAGGCTCTGGTACTTTTTAAAAGCCTTGCTTTATGTATTCAAATAATACTGGAAGAATTATTAAAAGTTTTAATAATCCCCAATGCATTATAATCCCAACTGTATATTTGTGATGTTATGTACTCAAGAAAGTTCCAGTGAAGGAGTAAGAGGCAATTGCCATTTACTGGCAATTGCCAGTTACTGGCTCCTACTCTACAGTCTCTGTGAATGGTCACCAGCACATTTATGGATCAGGCGCTTGTGATTCCTGTAACCCAGGCTGTGTGGGAGTCCAACATTCCAACTACCATGCCTTCCATTCCTGCTATTACTGAGATTATATTTGCAAAGCCACCTGGCTTCTTTCTAAAACAGTTCTCTTAGTCCTTTCATTGAGACTTCTAAAACGACCTCAAAAGCCTATAAAAATAACAAGAGACTGCAGCCTTCATATTCAAGTCAGGTGTCTTATCTAAAATGTTCCTAAAATAGCATCAACACTGAGAAGTCCTTTTCTGTGGAAGAGCTTTTGTGTGCTGTGCTTTAAGTCTCAGTTTAAAAACCAAATGCTTTAGGAAAGTGCCAGCCTCAGGGTTTCAAGCAGAGATCTTTGTTCTCATTCCTTACAGCGTAACCAAGGATGTGGTATAACCACTGGCCTTGTTTTACAGTATGAGAGGAACCAGTACAACCTCCTCTGTGTAAAGCCATGAACAGCACAGTGTTTTTTCAGTGTTAAATAATCCAATTAGCATTCAATAGCATATAACCACAAGAGAAAGCAGCTAGCTAAAATAGTATGGCAGTGTTTCAAGTGATATTCTTTAGGGACCTACTAAATTATTGAGTCTAAGGAAGATGAACACATGCGAGTTAGGAAGGGAATGTTGGTGTCTGAAGGAAGGATTGTGGAAAAGCATTCAGGGCATATGCATTCCAGTGGGTGCACTGAGGGAAAAGCACAGATATGTGTAAGGACCATGGACATACATGGAGAGGCTGCAAAGCAGGAAATGAATATTTACAGTTCCCTTCTAGGACCCCAAACAGAGTATCACAAGCAGGTTCACTAAGAGGCTGCAGAGGGGAGACTCGGGGGGAAACAAAGAAAACTTCTCTTAAGAGTGTAGACGGGGGTCAGCTTCTGGCTGTCATGCTCAGGCCTCTTGCTCTCATTGAGGTTGTCATATTTGGCTAATAATCGGAATCCTGTGGCCATTAGTCATCACAGAAGATACAACAAAGAAAAACATGTAAAACTCTCTGGTTTGGGGGAAATTCCCATGAGGGTGTGAGGATTTGAGGGGGAGGGGGATTGTACTTCTGCTATGAAATGCTGATCTACACATGGAAATTTTTAGGCAGTTTTTGAAGTACAACCTTTTTCTTGATCTATGTGCATCATCTCTCTCATCATCTCTGTGTCAGACTTTAGGCTCTTTTCAGAAGTCTTCCTCCAGCATCCACTTCAAGAGGCAATAAATACTGAACTCCTTCATTTAAAAATACCTCTCAAGTAGTAAAACATCACAATTTGGTTTTTTAGGCCCTGCTATATCAATGTTAATCCCAAATAAATCATGCATGCTATTGCTAAAAACAGAAGCCTGAGAGGGAGGGGGATAACGAGAAATGGGGTGAATTTGATCAAAGTATTTTGTATTCATGTGTGCAAATATCACAATGAAATCCTTTTGTACAATTAGTTTAACTAATAAAGAAAGATAGAAGGGAGTGGAGGAGGGAGGAAGCAAAGGGCAAAGAGACCTGAATGAAGTGGCATGTTGTATCTTTGAATTAGACACAGTCCCACCTGCACTTCTAATGGCTTTATGTGCTTGGTACCCTGCATCTCAACCTATCCAGGCCTCAAGAAATCATCCTTTTAAGTGTTCATCTGCACCTCTGTAGAGCAGAGCAGATTATTATGCAGAATAGTTTAGGGGATTAAGAGATGGCTTTGGAGTAAGACAGACCCTGAGGTTTGAATCCCCACTTCACCACTGCTTACTAGCTGTGTGACCTTGATTGAGTCATATTATACCCATAAGCCTGTTTCATCTTTCCAGAATCAAGGATAAGATTGCCTACCTCATAGGACTGTTATGATTATAAGATTTTGTGTAGTAAATGCTCAGCATGGTCTGAAACTAGAACCTCTTAACAAATAGTGGCCATTCTGTTATCATTGTTGACTTGTTTCAAATTAATTTTAATAACAATAAGTGGTTCTAATATTTTAAAAATCATGTTCCTGAGAGTGATGTTTGGTATCCATCAATATTTTCACCTCATTTATAAGCCCCCTAGGTTCCGTCAATCTTACTTTCCTGCCTAAGACTCACTAGACATAGAACCTACCCCAGAGAAAAATCATAGGCCAGAGAAGGAAGGCAGCATGTAGAAAACTGCAGTTGCATAACCTAGCAGCAAATTTCTGAATCTAGGAGGTTGGGAAAATGTTTTCAGGATATAAGGTTTGAGCTAAATATAAAGGATAAAGTAGGCATTGTCCAGGCAGAGAAAAGGAGCAAAACCATTCTGGAAGGAATATTTGCTGGGATGTAGGGGGCAAGTGGAAAGAGAAATACACGATGATTTTGTTTCTTCAGAAGTTTGCTCCAGAGTTTTCTCAAAATGATTAAAAGCCTGCCTCCATCCCTCTTCTGATCTAGGAAGATCTTTAAAAGACTAGGCATAATAATGCACACCTGTAATACCATCACTCAGGATACTGAAGCAGAATGTCAAGTTCAAGACCAGCCTGGGGTACATGGTAGGACCCTGTCAAAAAAAAAAAAAAAAAAAGCTACTACACTGTATTTTAGAGGAGGGTTACAGGGCTAAGTGACTAAATTTTTCTGAGTAGTTCCTAGGGCTGGTATTCACTTCACACACACCATCTGTATTCAGAGAAAAGGTAGGGGAGGAAATAACTAAAACCATGGTGCACAGGTAGAGTTGGCATTTGAGCTTACTGCAGCCTTGAAGTCTGGGCCTTTATACTTGAAGGGGCCATTCAGACTTGAATGCTTCTGGGACAGGCGAATACATAAATGAATGTGACATCCTTGGGTAGGCAATTGGGAGGGGCAGGTCCTCTGGAGAGAGCATCCCACCTTGGACCAAGATATTCTCTACATTGAAACAAACAAACAAAGCTAGGTATGAAGACCAGATTCAATCTTCAAGTCTTATCATTTCTTCAGAACATCTTTTGTTCATTAAAACCCTTTCTAATTACTGCTACTATATTTTAATTCCAGTGTCTTACACTTAGCCATCATCCACCTTCATGCTCAGCTTGTGAGAGATCTGCTAGAAGTCACATCTGGTTTGGTTTCTGATGACATTATCAACATGAGAAACGATCTGTACCAGGTAAGCGGAATTCTCAGGGAGACAACTGAAGAAAAACCAGTAGCTTTTTTGTAAATATGTGTATATGATAATTTTAGTAATGTTAACAGTAAAAACAAAACAAAAATAAAACAATCATATTGATAGGTAATATCCTCAAGGTCTATTAGTTGGGAATGTTACTTTATGAATTAGGATCCTTTGATCAATAGGCATAACAGCAACCGCTCTACAGTAAAATTCAGCATCCTGGTGAGAAAGGCAAAAACTTTAAAGTTTAAAAATAAAAGAGTTGATGCATTTTAAAGGGAGAGCCTAGGGGAAAAGTCGCATCTGTCAAGAAAAATAAGGTTGAAAACAATTGTTCAAAAGCCATTATTTTGTAAGAATTTTGAAGTCTACCGAAATGTACATTGACACCATCCAGAGTAGGTGTATATCAAATAAAGGGTGCTGAAATCCAAACACAGAAAGGTGAGAAGGTTGCTTGAGGGGGGAAAAGGTCTCTTTCAAAAAACAGGAAGATAGCTTAAAGTAAAGAAAACTGGGAACACTGGAGCTTTGCCCAAGTCAGATCCAAATAGAAATTAAGTGGGATAAAAAAGAACCTGAGGTCCTCTGTTTTGGAGGTCCTCAGACACTGCAAGGAGAGAAGTTAACTGGAGATTCAATGTCGCCACCTGATGGGCACATGCAGATTCTGGGTAAGTAAGGCAAGGTGGATGGAAACTGGGCAGAGTCAAAGTCTGGATATGAGGTGTTGGACCCCATAGCCACAGGTGATATATGTGAAACTCTGATTCAAGCATTGCATATAGCATATACGATATATATTTATATTATATACACACAATATTGGCAGTATCATGTATATTACCGCGTTGAAGGTAATTGTTATTTTGTTTTTGTGCTGGAGAATCAAAGCCAGGCCGTATGACTGTAGGCACGAGCACATGAGCAACACCGTTTAGTTCTTAATTTTTAAGCAAGTACATGTGAATCATTTTTATTTCCTCATTTAAAAAAAAAGATATATGTGAACCTCTGATTCAAGCATGCATATAGCATACATACATATATATGTTTATATATATATACACACAAAAATATGGCCAGTAATCATGTATAATTACCTAATAAAGGTACTTGTTATTTGTTTTTTGTGCTGGAGAATCAAAGCCAGGGCCTTGTACATGATAAGCACGAGCCAACACTGAGCAACACCTCTAGTTCTTAATTTTTAAAGCAAGTCATGTGAATCATTTTTATTTCCTCATTTAAAAAAAAAACTTTAATAGTGAATTTGCTCAAAATACACTCTATGCATATATGGAATTTTCATATGAAACCTCTTTATACTATTAAAAAAATCAAAATTTATTTTTATTTAAATTTAAAGGACATTATTTTCCTTATTTGTATTTTTATTTTATTTTTAAAATGTGCTTTTAAATTACTAACATGGGCTTATAGGTGTAGCTCAATGATCCAGTACAAGGCCCTGAGTTTGATCCCCAGCATTGGGGAAAAAGTACAAAAGGTTGACATGTAACTCTAAGCAAATTTTATCTGGGAGTAGTGTTTCCTGATAGAGGAAAATATTTACTCCCCACTCAATATTAGACATTAGATTTCTTCTCTGGCTGTTGTGCTTCATATCAAAGGGAAGATAAAGTTAGAGACTCTACTACCTCATATTATAAAAATAGCTAGGATGAAGTCTGATTTTAAATTTGTATTTAAAAGGTTATCTTCTTTAAACTTTTCTATCATCTGTCAATTGGTATTTGGAAAGTTATTTGACCTGTAAAGCCTCTTTTAGACTGATTTTTTTTTTTAACCATCACACATACATGAATAAAGCTGGGGACAGGATGGTATAGATTCTCAGTCCTCCTTTCAAAGACTACTTAACCTCCATTGCCTGTAGGTTACATTCGAGACAGCACTTGTTTTTCTGTTTATAAATAGAGTTAGCAAAGGACAGGGTACCGCACAACAGAATTAGAAGCTGTGATTTATTTTGTGCCAACCTCCTTTCTGTGTCATTTGGTTACATATGTCCAGACTCTCCAGTGTGCTAAAAACACCCCGAATCCCACCCTTGACACTTGTGCCCCCTCTAATTCTTACACTCTCCAGAGAGCGCAGCCTCATTTTTCCTGCTTTACCACCACTCTAATTACTAAGCAAGCACTCTGGGTTCCTTGTTGACTTCTCAGCACCAGACACACACTTAGTGGCAACTTGTTTTCTGATAACTCTTTCTGATGGAAAAATACACTGTTCTATTAAGTAATTTGGATTATTTGGCAATTATCTTAAACATTCTCCCCAAGTACCTTTCACTAATCTTAGTACATTTCTGTGACCATCTGTTGTGATTAAATCCTTCTCCCTACCCACCCTGTAGAGACACACTCAAAATAGTCTAAGTATATAGAGTTAGGATTTTTCTGAAAATATTCTCTTTAAATTCATCTCCTCTTTGATTCTTCTTCCCTAAACATAGACAACTACTCCAATATATTTGATATTAATTAGTTTTTGCATGTTCCCATAAAACATTATTAGGTATTTATATGCATGTATTTTCTTTTTTAAATTATTATAAATATATGTATATAGCTATTAAAATAGTTCAAAAGAATGTACATTGGGAAGTCAAAGTTGCCCTCCCTGGCAATGCACAAATCCTTTGGCCCTACTCCCAAATGTAATTCTTATATGATACTTTCTCGGGTTTTGGCTACACACGTATGTGTACGTGAAATAAATGTATACTTTAGTATGCATTCACATATGAGCCACGTATTACACAAACGTCTCCTTACCCAGCTTCCCCCAGTGGTAACATCCTGCATAACTATGGTACTGTATCTAAACCAGGAAATTAACACTGATACAATCCACAGATCCTAATCAGATGTCTCTAGTTTTACCTGCCTTTGTTTGTGCATATCTCTACAGGTTTTTTTTTTTCCCCCCAAACAAATCACAGTGGTATTCAACTGTAGTCCCAACTATTTGGGAGGCTGAAACAGGAGGATTCCTTAGGCCCAGAAATTCGAAGCCAGCCTAGGCAACATAGCAAAATTCTGTCTCAAAAAAAGTAAAATAAAAATACATAGTTATTCATGGAAGCATTTAAAATGCGTAAGTGCCATGTATTTCCATTGTATTTCCATTATATTTCTTTTTGTTTTGTTTTGTTTTCAGTTTAATTTATTGTGTGCATTTTAAAGTGAAAGTTAAAACACACAAACCACAGAAGCTTCATAGTACTGATAGTACTGACCAATTTTAAAACAAAAACACTGATCATTTATGCACATTCCTCATCTTTAATTTTACATCGTGTTATACAGAGGTACTAATGACACACACACACATTCTAACTCCTTATAAGCTTTTTGTGAAGCAGCGAGATATTGCATCATAGCACAGCTATTATATTTCTGCCTTGGACGTATCCATGCAGCTGTGTACAGCTAGTTCACTGTCACTGCTCCTGAAGAGAATCCTACCGTATGCTTCTCTAATGTAGTTGTTTTCAAGAGTAAACACTTAGCCAGCTTCTAACTTCCCACCTAGATAAATAGTACTGCAGTGAGTATCCTCACCCATGTCTAGTTTTACGTTCATGTCAGAAGTTGGGTTTCTAGGGCATTTGTATTCTTGGCTGATCAGAATGTCTATGAAAGTCCACACAGATATAACATGACAGTTCCTAGACCCCCATACTTGTGATTGTTTAAGACATAACACTGGAGTTTAAGATCTAGAAGTCTAAAATATCACAGAAAACCTGTAATGGCACTGTGGGTTAAACTTAAAAAAAAAAGAAGCCTTACTCCAGTAACAGATTTTGCATGATACAAAAATGTGTGTTAAATGTAGAAATGGGCTGGGAATATAGCTTAGAAGTAGAGTACTTGCCTAGCATACATGAGTATGTATTCAATTCCCAGCACTCCAGAGAGAGAGAGAGAGAGAGAGAGAGAGGAAAACTTTAAGAAATATATTCATAATTTCAGATCCTTTTACTGTATCGTCCTTTTTCCTTTCTTCATTTCCTGTAACATTTCAAAAAACAAAAATTACCAAACAGCCTTTTTTGAGTGATTTGTGTTGTGATAGGAAGACTTAGAAAAAACACTGAAAGTTTGAGGACATCATCTCATTTCAAGCTAGGATTATAGTCCTAGAAGGTGAAAGAAATAATGGAGGCTGATAATTACCCCCCACACACACATACCCAAAAATCCTGTCTTGTTTCTGCTGTATTAAATAATCGCTATATCTGAGATTTAGACAGCCCAGGTATCATTCACCCTGCCAGTTCTCCATGCTTTGGTTGCCTGTGGCAGCTAAGGAGGTGTTGTAGCCTACCTCTCACTGCTGCAGCAGCCAGAACTGCTCTGAAAGGAAGGTTAAGCCAGTCATCACCACACAGGCTGGATTTCATACTTAAGCTTCTGTGGAACACACTGATTTATATTAAAAATCAGTTGTTGTTTTCTGTCAGTTCTTTGGATGACTCTTTCATGCTTGTGTTTGTCTTGCTCATTTTTGAAAGCACAGAGTTTCCAGAGCATCTCATTTGCATTCACTGAAGTACTACTTCCTGGGCAGGGTAGTCAAATGGACCTGACATATCCACTAGGTGCTAGCAGCTCAGCTTTTCTGATCAGCCAAGCCTTCTTCATGAGACAGTTGTATGGTCCTGATTATTGCTATTTAGAATCCTATAACCTTTTATGAAGTGGAAGTAGAAGCCAATCTTTGGAACAATTTTTTTTTAATAAATGTGTTTTCCATATCACTATAGAATGATGATACCTTTGTCAGTTAATTTCCCATTGAATGGTTTATTTAAATTCCTTCAGTAAAACCATGGCTTAGATGTGATTTGCTAACATGGAATTATCAGCTAAAGATAGAGTCCTACTGGAAACTCAAGAAAGCTAAATTTGCTACTAAATGAGTTAAAATATCAGTAATGAGGCTGTGATAAGAAACAGAAAAGTTATTGAAAGGTATAAATGTAAAAATTGTCCTAATAATCCTAATTATTAAATGATTAAATGTTAGTCCATGCATATGCTTCATTAGCATACAGTGTAGACTAAGGAGCTCTTTTGCAAAGGTCAGGAGTTAATGTGGGAATGGCAAATGGCCCTGCAGTGTGATCCTACATACTGCAATGACAGCTACCAAGCCGTGGGCTGTAGATGTTCACCACTAACCATGAATGTTCTGCCTCTTCTCCACTTAGACACCCTTACACTTGGCAGTGATCACTAAGCAGGAAGATGTGGTGGAGGACTTGCTGAGGTCTGGGGCCGACCTGAGCCTTCTGGACCGTTTGGGTAACTCTGTTTTGCACCTAGCTGCCAAAGAAGGACATGATACAATTCTCAGTATCGTACTCAAACACAGAAAGGCAGCACTACTTATTGACCACCCCAATGGGGAAGGTAAGAGACAATGATATTGTTGGTATAACCTTTTCTATTCAATTTCTAAGTAATTGCTTGGTATTTGATAAATGCGTGCTGCTTAATTTTTCACTCAAAAATGCTATTTTTCTTTAGTCACCTGGAGTATATTATATCTAGTGTGTTTCTGTTGCTCACCATAGCAAATTCCTTTAAAGATGATTTGGAATGGTTTAGTCAGTAGGAGGAAAATTCAGAGGCCTGAGCAAATACTGATTATGAAGAGTGTGAAGCATCATTTAATCAGAGAATGTTTATTTACTCTCAGTGTCTCCTGAGAGCATAATAGAAGACCAGGTTCCAAATGCAGAGCAATAGACTTTTAGAGCCTTTTAAGAATATACTAAACAGAAACCAGAAGTGATGAAACCTGACAGCATATATCTCAATGATCCAGTTTTGCCATCCTCTGCAACTTCACCAGGGACCATCTGTGAGCAGCATTCCCACCCCGTGACTGTCCCTGTTCTTGGGTCATAGGTCTGAATGCCATACACATAGCCGTGATGAGCAATAGTCTGCCATGTCTGCTGCTGCTGGTGGCCTCTGGGGCAGATGTCAATGCTCGGGAGCGGAAGTCTGGGCGCACGGCACTGCACCTGGCTGTGGAACATGACAACATTTCTTTGGCGGGCTGCCTACTCCTGGAGGTGAAGGACACATGTATTTGCCAAGGGAACTTAGGGAAGTCTTTTCAAAGGCTAAACTCAGTAACACCTTTTTTCCCTGCACTCAGCAATGTTTATTTAACTTTTATGCAAGCCTTCAGAGTAGGACCTGCAGGCCTTCCCCCACCCCTAACCCAGCATCTCTAATTGGGGATTTCTTCAATGCAGAGCCAGCCCAAAGCAGGCACACAGACAAAGAGGTGGGAACCAAAGGGCCAAAAGAACCTTCTGCTAACTCTTTTCATGTGGGTTGGGTTTTAGGGTGATGCCCATGTGGACAGTACCACCTATGATGGAACTACACCCTTACATATTGCAGCTGGGAGAGGGTCCACCAAACTGGCAGCGCTTCTCAAAGCAGCAGGTAAGGTGGTGGTGGCCTGGCAGTTGATGAAAAATGTTATTGGAAATGCAAACCCAACTGCAGAGCAGCAATGTTGCCTTCTTGAAGCCTCAGACCTGTTGCTGAAAAGCATGCATAAGTAAACATTATGTGAGCAATCACATTTTAATTGTCATAAAAGCACTGTTTGGATTAGTAAGCCTGAGCTTACCCTGATCTGACAGCCATGCTAGTTTTCACTCTGGTTCATCTGTTTGTGTTGGGTTTGGGTTGTTTAGCTTGAAAAGTAAGAGTTTATTTCCTTGTAGAAATCTGAGCTACATCAGTCTCTGATCACAAGTTCCCAGAAGAAAAAGACTTAAAGCCTTCCTTTTCCAAGAAAGGTCTCTTAGAAGTTGAAGTAATGGGAAAAAGCACATGAGCCATGTGTTGAGTATTTTCACACACTAAAAGTTACTAGCATTTATTGGCCTTACTCCGTACTGGCATTTTACATGCTCCATCTCAATTTCATTTAATCCACAACAGCCTTTTGAGAGATGTACCATTATTACTATTCCCATCTTAGAAATAAGGAAACAATAAAAAAAGACTACTAGGTCCCACTCCCAGTGACCCATGTGTGGTAGGGTGTGAGTCATCCATACTTCAGCAGCCTGAACTTCCAGACTTCATCCTTGATACTATGTTCCTCTGTACTTTGCTCAGGGTTTAAAGATATTATTCCATTTAATTCTCTAGAAATTAATTATTATAAGAAATTATTATAGGAAATTATTCTTGGTCATCTGTGAGTCTCCAGTGCCTTGCATATTTAGAACCTTAAAAAATGTTTAATCAAATTGGCATTTCAAGCCTGCTCTGTTATATTTGGTTTACTTTCAAGGCTATATTAAATTGTTATAAGGTAAATGATTTAGATATTCAAGAAAACAGAGTGGGTTAAAGTATCATTTTAAAGATATGGAAACTTGGGGGGCAGACATTATTGGGGTTTGAACTCAGGGCCTTGCACTTGCTAGGCAGGCGCTCTGCTACTTGAGCCACACATTCAGTCCTTCCTTGCTTTTAGTTCTTTTCCAGATAGGGACTCATGTTTTTGCTAAGACTGGCTCAGACCATAATCCTCCTACTTATGGCCTACTGCCTAGCTGAGACTGACTTATCATTGAGATGGGGGACTTGCTAAGTTTCCAAGATATGGGAACATTTTGTTTGAGGGCACCATATTTTTCTGACAAGTAAAATTATACTCCAAATAAGCAGCAGCCTTTCTTTTCTTCTTTGTCAAATTGAACTTTTTCTTACCCGAGTAGCCTCGGTTGCAGAGTGTAGGAATCATTTTGGAAGGCAGCTATGCTCACCACTATACTACCAATGCAGGCTAGGAATCATTTTGGAAGTCTCTGATTATATTGAAGAAATCCCTTCACACAAGAAGCTATATCTCTTTCAAAAATGCTTTCTCTTACATTTTCGGAATTCCATGAAAGAATAGCAAGTAACAGTTTCTCTGATATAAACTAGGAAACCTAGATGAAAAGTTGAATCTTGAAGCTCGGAGTCAGTCATAAAGAGCGTCACTGCAGAAGCAGATACAGCTCAGGCTTTCCAGCCTTATTCATTGTTCCTCTTAGTTTCTCTACTGTTTTCATGGTCAAGTTATACTTAGGTCATAGAAGATCAGGCCAGAATTGGCAGAGGGAAAGCAAGAGATAGAACAGTGGCTTTCCTTGAGCACTCTCCCATTATTGATGTTGACCCAAGTCAAATAAAAGTCCTGCCTGCAAAATCAAAACAAGTTCCACATCCTTAAAGTATGTGCCAAGCCCCCCACTGCTCATTAGCCATCAAGCCAAACCCTCTCATAAGAATAGTCACTAGACCTTTGAGCAGTAACTCACTTCAATCTCTGGGTTACATTTTTGTGTTTTCTTGCTTGCTGGAAACTAAAGAACAGGCTAGATTTCCCAAGATTCATTAGCCAAAGCTTTTACAATAACTCCACATCCTAGCAGATGGTTCTTTTGGTGTTCTGTTGTTACTGTTTAAGGATCAGGGCCCTAGCAGCGCTCAGCAAAGAGTAAAATTGACCAAGTTGTCACTAGACACCAAGCATCTTTGCTCTTTTGAGTGAGTGAGAGAAGAAGGTAAGAAATGCACATTGGCAGGCATATTTGCCTGAGGGCACCCACTCCCAGAAAACTGCTGTCCAGTGGTCTCCAGCTTAAAGATGCAGCCTTCAGTTGAAAAATATCTTGTAGAGTTGAAATTCAGGGTATTTAAAGTCTTTTGTTTTTGTTATTGTCCTTGGCTGTATAGACACCTGTATGAAGTAAAGTCAAAGTAAATTACAATTTAAAAGGAAGTTCTTTGGATATTTTAATAGAAATGTTTTTTATGCCTTACAAATTATGAGGGTAATTACCTGTAGCAACTAAAGATAAATTTCCTTTGGAAGTCCGATCCTGCAGGCAGTTGGATGTTGACATGGTTTGGATTTACCTAATAAGTCACCTGATTTCGCAGGAGCAGATCCCTTGGTAGAGAACTTTGAGCCTCTCTATGACCTAGATGACCCATGGGAGAATGCTGGAGAGGATGAGGGAGTGGTGCCTGGAACCACACCTCTGGATATGGCTGCCAACTGGCAGGTGAGTTCTACCCAGTCTGTCTGGCAGCTGCTCCTAAGGGAACCAGAGGTTCGGGAATGTAAGGACAGATGGTCTTCCTTGTCCTTTATTAACAAAAGACCATGCCTTTTATTTTTAAGAAAGTCTGCTTGTCAAGAGCCATATTTATCTTGAAATGCCTGTCCATGAAAGATCCAGGTTAGCTGAGCCCTGAGTGTAAAAGTGTTTACCTAATCAGATCAGAGTAGAGATGTGAGAGAGGTTAGAAAAGAGAACACAAAATTCACATAAGACTTACCCATCTTGAGCACATACCATCTCAACTTCTGAAGCTCGGGTAAATGTTGTCATTTTTTCAGAACTTAGGTGAGTGATTTCTGAACATAAAGTGAACTTGGAATTCTTCAGAGGATTTCCATAAATATAAACAGATTAAATTTAAAGCCTTCCTCAAAACTCCACAGAACTGATCTCTGAAGGGGAATCGGTTACTAAGTAGTCTTTTGGGCTAGAGAAAAGAACCAGTGGGAGGAGTGGGCAGCATATAGAGTGCAGACATGACAAAAATGAATTTTTAGAGGTGAGTGCAGCTTCACATCTAAAAACTACTCACAAGCCCCCATTTGTGTTGGGCTGAATGACCCAGCAGAGACTGATACTCCATGTGCATCATCACCTCATTTGCCCAAAAAGGCCTCACCACCGAACACAAAGAGGTAAGCCAGTTCACGGACCCCATGTTGTCCTTACCCAGGTCCATTAGCAACGAAGCAACTACAGAGAGCACCTGAATGTCCTCCAATGCTGTGGAATTCTTTTTTCTTTTAATTGAAGACTTTCTGTATAATGTTTTCCCATGTTTTTCTAACCGACAGGTGTTTGACATATTAAATGGGAAACCATATGAGCCAGAGTTCACACCTGATGAACAAGGTGGGTTGTGGTAGAACTAGATTCTCTCCAGTAGTGCTGTCTCTACACTGGTTCATAGAGAGAGAGGAAAATCCAGTGCTATCCAGTATATAGAAGACATGGTTCTTATTTCACAATCATGTCTAGAGGTATGAGAAGAGCAATACCTGGTCCTAATCCACTATAAATATCTACTGCTGCTGCTCAGCTGGACCTCTGCTAACTTTCAAATAGAGAAGCTTGGTTGCTTCTACTGGGAGTTGGAGGCAAGCAAGGTGGCAGTGACCAACCCTTCCAGAGAGGGATCAGTAGGACAATTGTGTTTCTTCCTTTTTCCTTTAGGAGATATGAAACAGCTTAACGAAGATGCAAAGCTACAACTCTACAAGTTGCTAGAAATTCCTGATCCAGACAAAAACTGGGCTACTCTGGCACAGAAATTAGGTCTGGGGATACTTAATAATGCCTTTCGGCTGAGTCCTGCTCCTTCTAAAACTCTTATGGATAACTATGAGGTAATATGTCACCTTCATATTTAACCATTTTTTATTTGACTTTACTCAATTAACATCACTGATCAGAGCATTGTCCCCTTCCCTGTCCCATAATGCTGGGAAAGAAAACCAATCATTGCCCAAGGCATGAGAGAAAGACCCAGGTCAAGATGGAAGCCCATTTTCCTGAGAAGGTTGTCTTTCAGATGTCTTGAGATGTCCGGTTTTCAAATACTCAGAGCTTTCCTGTGAAAATGCTATTTGGAACGTCAGAGTTATCAGAAAACTGTGATCCCCCTAGCAAATAAGATAGATTATAATCAAAATGCACCATATCTTCTTGTGCCCAAGAGTGTGCCATGGTCACATGTCAGGACATGACCATTATTCTCTGATTCCTAGTGGAGATGCTGCCTGGTGGATTTTTTTCATTTAAAGAGAAAAAAAAAAAAGAGACCTAAGCATAGGGTAAGATTATTTTCTGTTGAAAATGTCATTGTTAGCTATTGTCCCTCAGTGGGTTTCAGAGCTTCAGCTTGCATCAGGGATATGGTATAGACTGTAGACTGGGTAGAAAGTTTCAGTGCCTCAGGGCATTCTCTCTCTCTCTCTCTCTCTCTCTCTCTCTTTCTCTCTCTCTCTCATACACACTCTCTCTCTCTTTCTCTCTTCTCCCTCTGTTCCTCCCTCCCTCTCCTCTCCCTCTCCCTCTCTCTCTTCAATCTCTCTCTCTCTCTCTCTCTCTCTCTCTCTCTCTCTCTCTCTCTCTCTCTCTCTCCTGTGTATCTGTGTGTGCATCTCCTGATGATGAGCCACTTGTCTGTGATTTTCTGAGTGGTCTTTGAGCTAAAACAGGAAATATGATTCAAACACTGTATTTTCTTAGGCAGTCTTCTCTCTCTACCCTCTTTAGAACCACCTTGCTCTCTGAGAGAAGATGGCAGGGAAGAGGGAAAGTGTGGGTGTCTGTGTTTATGGCCTGCACAGGGTTCAAACACAAGAACATACTCTTCATTTTTCTTATAGGTCTCTGGGGGAACTATCAAAGAGCTGGTGGAGGCCTTGCGACAGATGGGCTACACTGAGGCAATTGAAGTGATCCAGGCAGCCTTCTGCACCTCAGGAACCACAGTGTCCAGCCCCAAGAAGAACACCTCTCAGGCTCACTTGCTGCCCCACTCACCTTCTTCCACAAGGCAGCACATAGGTAAAGAAAAAAGATGGAGGAAGCAGAGGAAATATTTCCTGCTCCCCTAGGCTGAGGCCATTAGTTCTCATGGGATATGGCAGTACAGTTACCTTCCCCCATCATCTCCTGAATACATCTTCCAGGTTGGTCTATGGTCTCAGTTTTACTCTCTGTTCTCCTCCCCTCCCCCCATACACTACCATTCAGATGAGGGATCTGTTTCCATGTATAGTCACATTGTCACAAAAGTTACTTAGATTCACAATATACGCTAAAAACAATATGATGTAAGGGTTAGCATAAATATTCTTTATTTCATTTCTTAAATTTAAAGAGATTGATTCAGAGAAAGCGAAATGGACAGCCTGAGGGTTGTAGAATGAGAGATAGAATCCAGATGACAGGCAGATGCTGTGATTTTTTGCTGTCATACCACTTCTCAGTTTCTCCACCTCCTCCCTGCAGTGATCTTCTTCCTTCAGCCTCTTCTCCATGCTCATGACACTGACCTCTCAGCATTGATGGTACCATCTGTCATCCCACCAAAAGAACAGATAGCCATAGGGAATAGATTCTCAACACAGCTATGTATCCTATATTTCTTCATAATTTAATTCTTCTACTCTAAATAACTATTTCATGCTTTCTCTTCCTAAACTTCCAGCCCTGCTTCCCTCTCCTTACTCATCTTGTACCATAGCTTCAAAACTCCATTGAAAACATAGAAACAAGCAGAAGTCTCTCCTCTTTGCACCGTCAAATCTGTGGTGTCCCATCCTTATTGCCCACTTGTGCAGCCTCCTATCCAGGCTCGTAGGTTTAAATGTCTGTACCCAGCCAAAGAGCAGTCTCTCCACTGAGTTCCTCCTCTCTCCCCTTCTGTAGATCCTGGTACCTAATTCTTGGCTCTCTCTCTCCTGCATTATCAACACACACACACACACACACACACACACACACACACACCCCTACTGGATCACCCAGAAAGCAGGCTATAATCTCATCTTTAAAAACAAAACAGGAAAAAAAAAACCCCACTCCCTTGATCCCACATCACCTTTAGCTACAGTCCAAGCTTTTCAGGAGAATTTTGTCTTCCTTCCCTTCCACCACTTTACCTTCTGTCCTTTCCCTAACCCCCTGTGCTCTAATCCTTTCCCACTCCACCAGGCCTAGTCTCATCACAGGGACCAGTAGCCTCCATGTTGCCAGACCTGACTTGTGTAGTTATTAAAATACTTCCCAACCCCTGGTACATAATAGCTACCCCATAAAAACTGTGGCTGGTTGAGTAAGTCAATACCGAGACAATAGCCATTGCACTATTATTAAATTCTTTAAAATCTAACATTGGGATTTGATACATAAGAAGATAGTTTAATTAGTGTATATTACACTTCTGTTTCCCTGGTCACACTATAGATAGGAAATAATTTGCATTGGTCAGATCCCTAAGGATACATTTTAACAAAGAGAATTCAACTTAATTTTCCAGTACAGATGCATTTTCATCAAAATCACTTTATTTTCTTGCTACAAAAATGTTTCTGAGGTAACATCTCTTGCTTAATGGCAAATGAGGCCCAGAGTGAGATCTCATTTTTAGTTCCTACTTCTGTTACCAATTTATTTTGTTTAGGTTCAGCAGTTTCCCCAGCTGTAAAACAGACGACACAGCAGTTGAAAAAATTTACCTGATTTCTAGGAAGAAAAGGTGCATTATGAGTCGAGAGAATTCACAAAAAAAGATTCTGATAAACAGAAGGCTAGCTTGCAAGAAAAAGATGTGAAAACACTAGGCTACTCCTGATAATCTCCATGGTTTTTAAAGTCACTTTGGTGTCTCCTGCCCTTCACACCACTGTGAGCAGCACTGATGAGCAGGGGTGGCAGAAGTGGGACATGGTGACAGGTGGGAGACAGCAGGCAAGTTGTCCATAGAGTAGCCAGCAGTTTTCTGGATCCAGAGAGGAGGGAGGTGTAGAAGAGCAAAGGCATTGTTTGGTCCTAATTGGCCCCCCAGTGAATTTGTGCTTTCTCCTGTCAGATGAGCTTCAAGACAGTGACAGCATCTGTGACAGTGGTGTGGAGACATCCTTCCGCAAACTCAGCTTTACAGAGTCTCTGACTGGCAGCAGCTCATTGATAACTCTGAACAAAATGCCCCACAATTACGGGCAGGAAGGACCAATAGAAGGCAAAATTTAGCCTACAGACGATTTCCCTCACCAGTAAACCAAAACCCTAAAATTCCAGTGCATCGTCCCAAAGAAGGAAGGTAAAGTGCATCCAGAGGTGCTCAGAGGAGAACCAGCCTGCCGGGATCATTCTGGATTTCCTTCCAGGCCTTCTAAACTTGGCTTCCTTTCTTGGTTCTTACATGAATTTTAGTTGGTCCACGTACAGATAGTATATAGCAATCACAGCACTCGGGGTGAGCTGACATGTCGCTGGGGGTGACGGGTTTATTGAGCTTTACCGGCTGCTGCTGGATTACAGCTGCTTCCTGTTGTCCTTGCTGCTGTCCCTCTGCTGCCGTCCCAATGTCCCCACCTGGTGATCTTTCTAGCCGCCATGGCACAATGTTCATTCAGATTAAGGATTAAGAAAAGAGATATTTTAAAATGAGAGTCACTTGATATGCAATAAAAAGGCTTATTGCTTTTTCTAATGTGCTTCTCTGTGATTTGAAAAAAAAAAACCCATGAACTTATTAATATTTAAACATGGCTGCAATCAGTGCCGAAAATAGTATTTTCCCCTTTTTCTGCATTTTGCTATTGTAAATATGTTTTTTAGATCAAATACTTTAAAAGAAAAAAAATGTTGGATATAAAATGCTATTTTTTATTTTACTTTTATAATAAAAGGAAAAGCAAATTGTTGAACTCGCTTTGTTTGATCTCTGCAAATACTTTTCTAAAATGATTCCATATAATTTGTGGGATTGTTTCATAGCCTGGTTATCATATTCCTGTTTCTCATTAGACTCAATTTTCTTATCTAGAAATGGCCACAAAAGTTATCAAAAGAAAAGTATTCTAATCTAAGGTGAAAGTTTTAGGTTTGTCAAATCCTGACCTGGCACATCTCATTTAGATGTACTGAAATTTCAGCATACCAGAAGACCTTGGACAAGGAGCCTTCCAACACGAAGCTTTGTTAACTGCTCTTCATTCAGAGCCAGAAACTAGGAAGAGGGAAAATCAAAAGGTTTTGAAGGAGATACTAATGGTGCAGTGTGATATGCACCCAAGGTCCCTCTTTTTTTTCCCCAGTACTAGTGACTGAACGCAGGACCTTGTGCATGTCACACAAATGATCTATCACTGAATTACATCTCCAGCCCCCAATATTCGTCTTAACCAAAGCATGTGTCAGCTTAGACTAGATGCTAGAAGCAGAGTAGCAGTCAGCACCTTCAGGGACTGCCTCTGGTTGCAAAGAGCCATCTTCCTCATTCCCATGTGGTCCTGTTCAAGGACTCATCAAAATGGGCAGATAAAGTCCTGTCCCACCAGGAGAAATGCTGCAGAGCACCCTGAGAGGTTGGTTGAGGCTTGTTGCACTCATCTTCTCCCTCCACCCAGTTCTGCTTCCTTCCCCACCTTCCCACAGCTATTGCTCTCGGTTCACTCCAAGTTAACGTCCTGCACACCAGTTTCCATCTCAGAGTCAGTTTCCCAGAGAATCCTGTCTACACAGGTGCTGGGAACCAGGCTGGAAAAATTTTGCACAGCATGTTAAGTCACTTCATCCTGAAAATAACCCAATGATGGCCATAGAATTCTCCCCAACTTACAGAGAAGGAAATTGTGATTTACAAGGATTAAGGCTGAGATGCTCCTGAGTGCACACCCAGCCTGTCTAGCTCCTGAGCTTATGGGTTGGCCCATTGTTTTGGCAAGACAAAAGGTAAATAAAAATAGACTCCAAATTATATAGGAATTCAATATAAAGTAAAACTTCAAGTCAATAAAGAAAAGATTATTCAATAAACAGATAGATGCCCCTACCTGGGTGGTCACTTGGAGAAAATTAATTTGAACCCCTACCTCCCATCTTTCATAAAAATAATTCCCAGATGTATGAAAAATTATACCATAACAATACTAGCAATGCTAGGAATCATGGATAAATAATCTTGAAGTTAGGGAAGGCCCTTTTTTATTTTAAGAAAATTCTGTTTTCTATTATGTTGCCATTTTTCTGCTATCCATGCTATTATTCCAATTTTTGAAGCTTTGCGCCTGCCCAAATCACAGATTTGTAAGCAAATTGAATAATACTGTTTTAAGACCTAGATAGGAAGGGGATTGTTACCATTTTCTGGATCTCTATCTTGGCAATTTGCATGCCAGAGATCACAAGCTGACTTGAGGAAGAACGACTAAACAACTCATGTCAAGATAGAGAAATGACATCTTGCTTCTTTAATAAGCCCTGTGTCTCTTCTGCTCCAGAAACTTACTTTTCTTCTCCCAGGTCCCCTGCTGGCCTGGACCGCTGCATGGTGCTGGCCCCCAAGGGTTGCCAGCATTGCCTAGGTTTCTGTGGAAGGACTGACTGTCACATTGTACCAGCAGATGGGGCAACAGGAGTGCAGGAGATCAGGTGGAAAGCTATAATGGGCCTGAAATAAACCTGCCCAGAAAGCTTGTCTCACTGCGGGAGGCCATTTAAAAAATAGCTTCCTGAGAACATCAGTCATCTTTTGAGGTTTCTGTACTTCACAGGCATAACCCAGACCTTTTCAGGTCTCAGCAGAAAGATGCCCTACAGCTGCTCATTTACCCATCTGAATCTCCTGAGTAGTTCTATGTCACACAGACATTCCCAGTCCCCCCATGGAATGCAGCCCCACAAACGACCTTGTTTCAGCAAGAGAAAGGAGGAGGGGAAGGAGTCAGCCATATTTGAGCACCGTTATGTACCAACTCCTTTGAATTAATATTTCAAGTGATAATTCTCCCTTCATGGTATATATTTAACCCTACTTTACAGTAAAGAAACAGATGATCTGAAGTATAAGTAACTCATCCCAGATTCAAATCCATCTGATTCCAAAAACTATTCTTTGAGGATGCTCAAAGGCCTTGGAAGAAAAGACACTATATTTAAAAGAAAAGAAAAGCCAGGTGTGGTGACTCACACCTGTAATCCTAGCTACTTATGAGGCTAAAATCAGAAGGATTGCAGTTTGAGGCCAGCCATACCATAGAGTAAGTTACTATCTCAGAGAATAATCAGAGCAAAAAGGCTGAAGGTGTGGCTCAAGTGGTACAGCACCTGCCTGGCAAGGCCAAGCCCTAAGCTCAAACCCCAGTACCACCTAAATAAATAAATAAGAAAAACTACATACAGATTTGTACAAAGATTAAGAAATCACAACGTACCCAACCCAAAAGCAAGATGAACCCAGAACATCACAAAAGGATCTATTGCTTGGTTAAACAACTTGATTTCCTCTTACTCCTAGGCTAATATACGTGAGCATGAATTAGCCATGGACTGAAAATGGTTGCACCTCTTTTTTCTTATTATTTTGTGCTTTTGGGGAAAGTTTTCTTTCTGATTCCACATCCACAGGTAATGGATATGGGGAGGCACAGGAGTTGAGAAAGGGTGAACCTAAACTTCTGTTTATTTTCTTAAAAACTACAGAACTTAGGGTTGGGTAAGACCTTAAAGATCACTCATCTAAGGAATAAGGATGCTACCCAGTGGTAGAGCTCATTCTTAACATGCCGAAGGCACGGAGTTCAGCCCCCAGCATCCCCACCCCCCAAAAAAGTTACGTACCTACCTAGTTTTTGTCTTTATAAACACCTACAGTGTGTGGGAGCACCTCCTCCCTCATGTCCTCATTATGGCAGCTGTGTCAGGCATCAGTCTCAATCTTAGAGACTACAAATTGGTTTCCTAGGTTGGCCATGTGGTTTTAGATTTTGGGGATGGGACTTTGAGGAGGGGCTGGAAACTAAATGGATGTCATCACACTATTATGGATTCCATTATGTCTACAATAGCCTTCTGTCAGCCTGGACAAGTGAAGAATTCCACAGACTGTTCAAGCTTCTTACGATGAGAGGGAGGAAGGAGCTGAAACAGCGCCATCTAATGTCCATCAACTTGCTTTTCTTGCTTTTCTGTGCTGATACCTCTTTTCACAATGGTTATGTCATTTATGTCATTTAAATACAACAGCCTTTAAGGAACAAAGATATATTTTCAATCAAGTTTCCTTGAGTATCTGTTGCAAACCAGGCACTGCAATGGGTGATCTTCAGACAGTATCTCCACTTACCCAAAAACCCTGTGAGAAACTGTGTCCCTGTTTTTACAGATAAGGAAACTGAGGCACATTTAAATCATTTACTGCCGGATCTCCTGACTTCAGTAAAGTATTTTTAATAACTCACACTTGCAGCAAGGGCAGGGGTGAGTACGTCATCATTCTTCTTCCAACATTTGGGTCCCAAGGTCTATTTGGGGGTCAGTTGGAAGGAGAACAGAGCTTAGAGGAGTATGTGTGGAAGACTGGAAGTGTGTCACTTTTCTCTATTATACTGGAGGAAAACTTTAGTCCTATGACCACACCCAAAGCAGGGAGGCTCAAGGGGAGGCCAGTTCTGTGCCCAAGTTTAACATGGCTATTGGTTTTGGTGAACAGATCATAGTCTCTGGCACACAGAGACTTCCCTTTGGGAGGCTGGATCTTAAGATTCATTCTAGTTCTGACTCACATGCAAACATGCATGCTGAAAGCTACCTACCGTATGGCAAATTGCTACCACCAGAGACACAATCATTTCCCAGGATTCAGAATGGAGGATGAGAGACTAGGGTGTAACCCAGCAGTAGAGCACTTGCCTAGCATGTGCTAAGCCCTGGTTCAATTCTCAGCACAAACCTCCCCCCCCAAATGGAGGATTCACTGTTAAGTACAAAGTCACCGTTTATCGGAAGGAAGTCCTCAGAGATGTTTGAGGGAGAGGTAGGAGTTACGGCAGCAAAGCCTAAACATCCTTGTTCTAACTCCTAGGAACCCCCACTCTCTGACCTCCTTGCCTCCCAGTTCCGTCCACACTATACACAAAAGAGGTCTTGGATTTGTAGGTGTCAAGGTTAATGTCTTTAAGAGGCCATGGCTCTTGGGATCCCACCCAAAGGAAAGAGGCAACTTCATCTTTCTTGTGGTCTTCAGAAGACTGTCAGGACCTTGACTCCCATTTTCTCAGATGTACGGCAAAGGAGCAGAAGTTGGTTCTTGGAGAAATCATATTCTCTTCAGGCCAGAAGCACAGCAGTCAAAACGGAATTCTAGAACGCCCTTCCCCAGAATTGTTTCTTGGGATCAGAAAGCAAAGTTGTCGAATATGTGAGTGGAAACCTTGAAGAATGTGATGGAAGGGACTCCAATCAAGAAAGGTTGAAAACTGATGCCACAGCTGGATGTGTTGGTACACGTTTGTAATCCCAGCTATTTCAGGCAAAGGTAGGAGGATCGTGGTCTGAGGCCATCATGGGGAAAAGCATAAGATCTTATCTGAAAAACAAGCAAAAAGCAAAAGGATTGAAGGTGTAACTCAGGTGGTAGAGCATTTACCTAACAAGTGCAAGGCCCTGAGTTCAATCCCCAGTACCACAAAAAAAAAAAAAAGTGTATGCCAGAATCTGGATAACCAAGTTATTAGGTCTGTTATTTGGCAAAAGAGAGATTTTCTTCATTTCAAAACTATTTTTGCACTTCCCCTTGCCTTTTCTAAGGCAACAGAGCA